CTTGGAATTAATGAACCTTGTTCACAAGCTAACTCATGCAACTGAGTAGGGATTAGGCAAATCATCCAATCCGTCTTAAAATCTGATTAGTGTGAAAGGCAGAATGCCCCCAAATGCCCTGCTACGGCCGACAGTGGGTAGAGTCCGCTCTCCCTCTCGAAATGCTCTCATATGGCCATGCGTATATAGCCCCTGCCAGGGAAGTCCTACTCACTGCTTACTCGCACCACGGGTGTTTTTTACGAAAATGGGAGGACGAAAAGCGAATTTCCGGAGCTTTAACTGGATCCCAAATCAATGGTGCACATGGACTCCAGTATCCTGAAGGAACAAACGGTATATGAACCAATCGTTGGTCACCGGCTACCATTGTACTGCATCTCTTTACGTTGCTCCACTGCCTTGTGGATCAGATCTTCAACTCGAAGGCTCGGGGTGTGGCCTCTTAAGAAAACCACCCGGGCAGTATCACAGCCCTCACACAAATCAAATGATGTGTGGTGCATATGTATTTGGTGTCTCCTTGTACCAATATCTATGTGTTAAAATAAATAAATAAATAACATAAGTATTCACTCGTCGAGAAATACTACGATTGTGGGGCGTCTAAATGTGTGTCTATGTTCTAGGACCTGACGTAGTGTTAATATCTGGTTGACTGAACTCTTCATGTCCTTTTATTTTTTTCTTTTTCCAAATTTATTTCACTAGATTATACTCCTTAAATAACATCTTTAAACCTCAATGTTTCCGATTACTGCTTATAATTTATTATTTCTACCACTATGGTATTTGAATCGACAATTGTATCTCTGTGCTAATGTAGTATGGTAACTCGAACTGATGTATGTATGTACGAAGTTCTACGTTGTTACTGATTGATCGCAAGTAAACTGATAAGTAGAATTGGTTCAAAATAGTAACTTAACCTTAACATATCTTCAAATCAATTTCTAAGTAGTATCTCATTATAGACTTATTTATACTCATTAATTATGCATATATACATATATAATTGTGTAAAACTATAATAATCAACATTGTTAAAATATTAAAGTATTTTTATGAATCATCAAAATGAAGATTATGCGAAAACACTAAAGGTCAAGGATACAATGTCATTGTACATAATAATGATGTGATTATTTTATTAGATCGATGAAAGTTATTGCGAATAAGAACATGACTTGATTAAGGGTTATGCATAATAATAATAATAATAATAATAATAATAATAATAAGAAGAAGAAGAAGAAGAAGAAGAAGAAGAAGAAGAAGAAGAATACCACTGGTTGAAATCATGAGTCAATTGTAGCTAGACCACCATGCAAAACCTGGAAGCACTGGACGGCCGTTTCGACCTAGTATGGGATTCCTTGGAAGTGCGCATCCACGATCCCGCCCCCGCGAGGTTCGAGCCAGGACCTATCAGTCTCGCGCGCGAATGCCTAACCTCTAGACCACTGAGCCGGCCAGCAACCAATCCATGAAGTTGCGTGACCCTACACCATTGTCTTCAGTGAGTTGATATCTCACAACAGACCTGGTTGAACTCCAGTGGTCACGGCTTCTCACTATAATTCTAGGAGTATCTCTTGAAGTCAGTCACTAGTGAGCAGCACTGCTGAGGAGTCTCATACTAGATCAAAACGGCCATCCAGTGCTTCCAGGTTTTCCATGGTGGTCTAGCTTCAATTGACTCATGATTTCAACCAGTGAAATTTCTAAAATCTCCACAAAACCCCTTCTGAGAAGAATAATACGTTGAAATGGTAAATAGATTGATATAAGTTGTTCGAATTTAGTGAATTCATTTAGTCATAAGCAACGTGGAACCTTATGCATACATCCTTCAGTTCTATACCAAATCATTGCAGCAAGATAAAATTGTCAAGACAAATAGCAGAGTTGTAGGATTAGTAGAATACATTAGGTCTGGACAATATGATTAGAAAAGAATCAATGAGTTCATGGAATAACAGATGTAAAATAGTTTCAAAACTCGAAATCTAAGGAGTGGATAAGGTATGAGTGAATCCGCGCTACTGCTACTAATTTTGAGCCATGTTACTCAACTCTTCCAACCACCGATCGTTATTACTACGAGATCATCAATCACGGTAGTCTGCACTTGTCAAAATGGTTAAAGCCAACAGTCTACGGTTACATAGACTGATCCCTTGTTTTGATCGTTGTTATCATTCTTCGAAGTTACTCCTATTTGAGCCTTCATTGCACGTTCAGGTAAATAACGGCTTAGTGTATGTAACACACGTCTCAACCACTTCATTCGAAGAGGATTCGCTACTTCATTAACCAATTTGTACCTTGTTTCTAACTTTAATGCTGCCCACTCAATAGTTCCAGTATATGCGAGCAATTCTTTCAAAAGATCTGTGATCGAATACTGGTGACTTACAAATATTCTTTATTTTTAAAGTTCCACACTCATGGAGTAGTGCAGAGCATATTGCTACACAGTACACTCGTCCTTGGGTTGTGACGGATGGACAACTAACTCCTATGCCAAAAGTGATGTAAGTTGGTGAAAGACAACCAAGCTTTCTAAATCCATGTCTAGATCTCGTCAGATACATACCTACTAGGAGCTTGATAAGACTCCCATGATAAGCGTTATGCCACAAAATATGAAACAACATTTGTACAAGAATTAACCAAATGTGGCTGTGAATGTAGGAGGCAGTGACTAATAGACAGGGTATAATTCAAGAATGGCAAATCGTATAATAATAGTTCATAGGTCAAGATAAAGCTTATAATAAGAGGAATATGAATATGAATAGTTTAGTTACTCAACAATTATACGATAAAAATATACGTTTAGTATTGGTCCATAAATGGATCCCCAAAGTTACCATTCATTATGCTTATCGAGACCTAACACACCCAACCAGGAATTACAATTTTCACATAAAGTATTAATTAAAACGTCTACAACTTAGCATCTACCATAGATTAATTTGATAGGAATAATAGTTATTCCGTTAAATTTTCTATATCAGCTCGTAGAAATAACCAGTGGTTTTCCATACATAAAGTTTCACAATCACATCAACGGATGTTTTACGTTTACATGGAAGTTTAAGGGTTAAGTTAAAAATCAAGTATTCCTAGGTAGTTGGCCGATGGAATGAACATAACATCATCATTCCATCAAATCATTGGTTATTTGTCTCAATCGTGTAGTTGAATCCTAACTTCCTAATTAGGAACATATTTTTGTCGACTTAACTTGAAAATAGCTGCATTGATCATTCTTATTCTTTTCCTTAATCTTGGATTTTTAAAGTAACTGTCCACTTTTACTAAGTAAATTAATTCCTTTTCTTAGAAATATGTTCTTCATATTTTGCATAAGGGATTGATTTCAGTTAAACAACCAATAAAAGCCAGGAATAATTAGAAAAATTTTTCATCCTGATATGGGACTCATAGCAGTATACATCCGCTACCCCGTTGGGAATGTTTACTCTTGTCTACTATCATTGGTTCGAACCCATCTTGCCATTCATTTTAACTTTACTTCGAACTTGCCTACTATGATAATCCGCTCGTTACTGTAGAGTACACTGTGTCACCATGCAGGTCAATTGGAGAACTGTAAGACCGCTGACCGTGTTGGCTTGTGACAGTAGTCAAGTGTTTACCTCAAACAGTCAGTCAGTCAGCTGTAACGTAGGACCAGGCACGTATATGCATCGGTCCAAGTTGCCATACCGCATTAGCACAACAAGATCAACACCGGATTCATAAAAGTAGTTAATTCAGTGGTGGTAATATATAGAAGAAAGATTGTGTATAAGGAGATAATACAGGAAGAAAGAATTCGTTCCTAGAAAGAAAGATTTGAAGTGATTTTAATCTCCTAATTCAAAGGAAGACAGAGAGTGTATACACCGACGCCATTGTGATCGATTCTGAGCCATGTCACCAAGAGTCTCCAACCATTGGTTACGATAGTCACGCGGACCCCAACCAGGCAGTCTGCATCTACCAACGTGGCTCAGACCAGAAGTTAGTGACTTCAAGCACTGATGCCACGTTTTGGTTTGGCCGCCCCTAACTTTCTTCCAATTATCCCTAACACCAGTGAGCGTTGCGCGTCGCGGTAATCGGTGTTCAGGCATACGCAGCACGTGGCCCAACCATCTCAGTCGATGAAGGTTCATAACCTCATCAACTGATTTACCTCAAACAACCAGGATATGAAACGATTATGAACGGTCGGTCCTGAAAATAACGCACCTCACCTCACCTCACAGATTACTATTGTCAATAGTATGTTCTAAAAAAGTTCAGAACCAATTACGAGCAGTTATGTGACTGGTTTCATTTAATTTTTTCCTGGTCTCCACGGTTGAGATCACCTTTAACCCAGTTTCATTTTCAAGTCCCTCAACTAGAAGTATCGTTCGATAGTGTGGTTAAATGGACAGCGACAACCGCTCACAAACACTTAATTCCATTCGGGATCATCCTGTTCATAATCAAAACTTCTGAAACAGACAATGTATAACTTTATATCTCAAAATGTACAGCGTATATACATATATTTGTCCCTTAGAAATCTAAGTCATATTTTACCGCCACTAGGGCTGATTTCTTCCTTTAAAGGTCATGTGTTGGTCGATCACGTGCTCTTGATCTTGTGACGTTGTGTCTAAGAATTAATGCTGTCACACAACTTCTATACACGTGCCTAGCTACTCAAAAGAAAAAAAAATAGAGGGTGAATAGCTAAGTTTATTTGACTAGACTAAATCGAGTCTATATTAGTGTGTTTTTTTCAGCAAGGTTCTTTTTTACAGGATGCACTTGCTAATCCCATCCTTTAACTCTCTTCTTTTATCCAGGCTTGGAACCATCAGTAACCCTGGAAGGGCTCTAGGTGGTTTCAGATTGACCCACTTTATGACACATGTATAATGTATTACTTTATATTAATAATTCATTCCTTTTCTTTTTTTTTCGAAAATTAGTCCGAGAATATAGTTTCACAATCAACAAATGGAGTGCAAATAATTCATTCGAAGAAAAATCCTACTTTACGTAAACGTTCCATTCGTAAGGTAACAACAACAACACTATCATCAACTGCAAAATCATTATCACCCTCATCATCTTCAACAAAATTGTCAGATAAATCCTCTTCCTTTTCTTCATCGGCGCACTCTTTTAATTCTATTGAATGTTGTCAGAAATTAGATGAAATCTTAAACGATGACCAAAATGAATGTGTTCAAGGTAAATATATAGGTACTCTTTATTCAGTTATGTGAAATTGAGTTTTTGTTGTTTAAGTTTTGTATATCTTCTGTTCAGTTTATAAGTTCTGGTACAATAGAGTACCAAAACAATATCTAATTCCTATGAAAGATCCAACCGTTACCCCTAATCATTACTAACTGGTTGCGTCTCACACCATGACATCGGTTTCAATATTGATAAGAAACTAATGTTCGTTTTGAAGATTGCAAGTAAACCTTGCTAATGACTACTAACTATCATGTAGAATAGGTCTAATGGGTTTTCTTGTTTACGATCTTCAACCATCTGACGTTGTGTTTTTTCGTCGATTCCCTCCCCCCCTATATATATGATGTAATCATGCGTACGGAATGTTTAACCTTTCATAAAATGGAGTTATACAAGTTTACAGTAATAAATGCTTTTTTTAACAGTTAAATTCACAAGTCGATCTAAGCTAGACCGCTATTGAAAACCTTGAAGCACTGGACAGTTTTTTTTCCTTGTACGGGTCTTCTCACGTGTGACTCAAACCCAGGGCCTTTGGTCTTTCTCATGAACACGCACTACTGAAGAGTCTCATACTAGGACAAGATGGTCCTTCAATGCTTCTAGGTCTTTAATGGTAGTCTAGTTTAAATTAACTCATGAATCCAACTATTAAAATACTACAATCCCCACACTGATAATTTATTTTGTTAGATTTATGCATGGATACTACAGACAAATAGTACATACATACATACATATATACATACATACATACATACAGTGGTCCAGTAGGTTAAGCGTTCGCGTGCGAGACTAAGGGCCCTGGGTTCGAATCCTGCGAGCCGGATCGTGGATGCGCACTTCTGAGTAGTCCCACAATAGGACAAAACGGCCGTCCAGTGGTTCTAGGTTTCCAACGGTGGTCTAACATCAATCGGTTCATGATCTCAATCAAAAATAGCGCATAGATAATTGTTGATTTTAACACGTTCAACCAATCAGAAATCAACCATATGACAAGTGTACACTATTGGCCTCAAAATGACTTATATATCCTAGGCATAAGACATACACCCTTAATGGCTTAATTTTCTAAGATATATATGTGAGTATACATACAGGATAATTCATTTGGTAACAATCTGTACTAAATATACATATACCTATAAAGTTTAATCAAGAATTCAGGATTAAATATCAATAATGCTATAATTGGTTGACCTTACTATTAACAATATGATTATTTTTTGGTTTATATGATGTTCAATGATACATGTTGGTATGTATGTTTTGAAAATATTATGTTATCTCATTTCTTTCAGATACTAATTTATGTTCGGTTAAACAAAAACCAGTTGCCAATGAACAGATGATGATGATGAATAAAAGCATTGGTTCGAAAGACACAGATACTATCACTTCCACAATTCATGAAGTAGTAAAGACATCCAATAGTAGTGGCAGCAGTACCATTACTAAATCATTAAAAACAAAGAAATCAAATCCTATACATCATGAATCATGTAAAGCAGTAGTTGAATCATTATCATCATTGTCGTCTTCGTCTACTGTTCCTGAACCATTGAATAACTCATATATATCTACTCCTGTTTCTGGTACATCTGTTACGCCACAAGTATTAGATACTACCGGGGATGATGATGGTGAATGGTTATGTGCAAATATGAAAACAGTTAGACGTCGTCGACGCAATAATAATAATAACAAAGACATTAAACAATTGATAAGTACAGATAATAATGATAATGTTCATGTTGATGACACCAAATTAGAAGGACACGTTCTACAGCAGCAACCAATTGAGTTATCATCCTTAATAGTCTCAAAGGAAAATAATCAAAATAAGTCCAACTCTACAGATGATATTGGTAGCAATGATCAACAGTATTTAATAACTAGTCAAGATATTAATAATTCTAAAAGTAATGAAAATTTGGAACCTGATTCTAGTCATCAATGTGTAGTAGAATGCTGCAACAAAACATCTTCAATGATAGTAAGTTGTTTACATTACTTGAAATAAAATTTGAAACGAATTCTATATTTGTTACATTCACTTTCACCCCCAAATGCACTGGAACGGCCGAAGGAAATGAGAGTTAGCTGTCCCTCTCTAAATCCTCTCACATGGCTACGTGTATACGGCCACTATCAGGGAAGTCCTTCTCATTGCCTTCTCGCAGTAGGGGTGTTGTTTACGGAATTGAGAGTATGAAAAGTAAATGTCCGGCTCTTTAACCGGGTCGGTAGATATAGAGAATTCACCAATGGTAGTTGGAAAACCCTCATTCCAAACCAACGGTGCACATGAGCTCCAGGGTCCCAGGGGAACAAATGGTGTACCAACTTAATGTTGGTCACCAGCTACCATGGGACCGCATCTCCTTAGGTTGCTTCACTGCATTGTGGATTAGACCTCTAGGTGAATGCCTTGGGGAGTGCCCACCTGTTTCGGTTCGGGCGTTCGGCCAGTATCATAGCTTACACACAAACCAAGTGACTTGTGTGGCGTATATGTATTCGGTGCCTCTTTTTACCCATTTTTGTGTTCGAATAAATAAATATCAAAGCATAAAGTCATTATCTGTGTTAGGAAGTAGTAACCAATGTGTTATATCTTTTTTTGTGTGAATTTCATTTCGTATTGATAGAATTCTATCGATTTAGTTTCTCACATGACAACCCTTTTGTCTAAATGACTTTAGTATTAAGATGTACTTCTATGTATTTGAATATTAATCAATAGTGTTCATAGTCAATCGACAACATAAACCTTGTTTAACTTAAATTTCTTGCTTATAGACATTTGTTATAGCAAGGAGTTTTTGTGAAACTGTAGTGAATTGATGATGTCTCACTTATTCATTAATGATTTTAATGTTACTTTCGATAGGAGGTGCTTTGCTTTTTTTTTTCGAATTATCAATTGATACCAAATAGTAAAAACAAACAAACTGAATCGGTTAACTTCAATACTCTTAATCCGCTTAATAGTACTATTTGTAATATTATTGATCCATTTTGTACTATCATTATTAATGAAACACGTGCTCCTACTATCCTAAACAGGGGTTTACTATTTTCATGTGATACAATTTAAATAAGGTTATCGACCTACTGTATATGTTTGTATTTATGAAGACTTATCATTCACCTTAGTAACTAGTCAGTTAATACACTAGTTTCTGTGTGGTTTTTTTTTCAATTTCAAAACTTAATACGACATGATATGGATTCAGTTACTATGACAAAATACGAATCTGTTTGGCTATCGGTTATTACTGTTATTATTTAATATTTGAACACACATATATTGATATAAGGAGGTACCGAATACATATGTGCCACACAAATCTCATTTGATTTGTGTGAGGGCTGTGATACTGCCCGGGTGCTCAAACCGAAGCTGGTGGTTTTCTTAGGGAGACACACCCAGAGCCTTCGACCTAAAGGTCTAATCCACAAGGCAGTGGAGCATCGTAAGGAGATGTAGTCCCATTGTAGCCGGTGACCACCGATTGGTTCATACGTCATTTGTTCCTTCGAGATACTGGAGCCCATGTGCACCATTTGTTTGGAATGTGGGTTTTGCAACTCCCCTAGGTGGACACTCCATGTCTACTAACTCGGTCAAAGCGCCGGACATTCGCTCTTCGTCCTCTCAATTTCGTAAACAACACCCGTGGTGCGAGAAGGCAGTGAGTAGGAATTCCCTGGCAGAGGTTATCGGTTAGCCAATTAACTAACATTATTAATATAGGATCTGGGACAATTGCTTCAAGTTTATGCATTATGAAAGAAGTCGACAGTGGAGGAGACTAAGCATAAAGAGTGTGGGGTATCAAAAGAGAAAAAATAATCAGTAGGATAAGAAAACAGTACAAAACTAATCTTGAAACTCTTAATCTAGAGGTAGACGAAGAGTGAATGAATCTGTACCACTGTGATCGATTTTAAGCTATAGGGTCTTTAACCTTATATCAAGATCATAACTCCGAGGTTGATTAAGTAGTCTACACTTATATCAACGTAATCCAGATAAAAAGTTAATTACGTGATGAACCGACACTATGTCTTGGTTTAGTCACTCCAAGTCTTCTTCTTTCAATCTACTACTATGGTAGCCAAGTGAAAGTCAGTTACACGTAAGGCAAAACTTTGCATATATCAAGATAAATCCCAGCATAGTATAAATAATATCAGTATCAATGTTAGTAGAAAAAAATTACACATAGACGATACGATGAAGAATGAATTTGTGTAATAAAATATATAAACTATTTTTAGAACTCAAAATCGAATGAAAGACATTGGGTCTTCACACCCATCAACATACCATAATCCAACAGTCATCGACTTGATGAACTAATGCTATTTCTTGGTTTGATCACCCCTTAGCTTTCTTTCTACACCAGCAAATATTGCTCATCGATGTGGGCAGTAGTTAACTATATCGTGGTAGCCTGTGAACATCTTCTTCGTCATGTTGAAAGACAGTCTAATGATGATCGGTTTATTGTTTGTTTATCAGTTTTCAAAAATATCAATCATTCTGTTATTAAATGTTAGTAGGTTTTTCCATGAATGCTTATTGGCTTGAGATTTTTTATATTTCACTATCTCTTTGCGTAAATAAGGGAATGAAATCAACAATATGTGTGAAGTATGGGATGACACTAATTACTATTACTGAAATATATCATGGATGCGCACTGCTAAGGAGTCTCATACTGAGACGGAACAGCCGTCCACTACTTCCAGGTTTCCATTGGTGGTCTAAAATTGACCCATTCATGATATCAATGTAAACTCAACATTCTCTACAACCCTATACTGACAATACCGTCTGTGACTGTGACATTGCGAGTTCTGTTGGTGGAGTGTATAAATTGGTGTTGTTAGACGTCTGGTTCACCATTTTGGGGCCCATCTTTTGGCTTCTTTATGATCGAATGATATTGACGCTAACGAAAACTCCATCCTACTTCGGATTGGTTCTGTCGACTTAGCATGTTTAGAACAGTGACATATCAAGGATCGAAGTAAAATTGTACTTAGGTTACGTTTAGTTCAGGCATCCATTCATGCAAACAGACGATGAGAGATGCGAATTGAGGAAGGTAAACAGGGATACTCATTTTAATTCAAATATGAATCAACAGCAATGAGCATAAAAGATGTAGGCAGGTACATACTGTCATACTCACGTACCCAAGGTAACGTATATGTAAATCACAGAAGATAAGTCGCATAGGCGTTTTTCAACACTTATTTTATTTATTTTATTTTAACACATAAGTATAGGTACAGGGAAGCACCAAATACATATGCGCCAAACAAATCTCAATTGATTTGTGTGAGGGCTGTGATACTGCCCGGTTGCCCAAACCGAAGCAGGTGGTTTTCTTAGGGGGCCACACCCCGAGACTTTGACCTGAACATCTGACCCACAAGGCAGTGGAGCATCGTGAGGAGATGCAGTCCCATGATAGCCGGTAACCAACGATTGGTTCATACGCCATTTGTTCCCGCAGGATACTGGAGCCCATGTGCACCATTGGTTTGGGGTCCGGTTAAAGCGCCAGACATTCGCTTTTCGTCCTCTCATTTTTGTAAACAACACCCCCGCCACGAGAAGGCAGTGAGTAGGAGTTCCCTGGCAGAGGCTATATACGCATTGCCATGTGAGAGCATTTCGAGAGGGAGAGCGGACTCTCCCCACTCTCGGCCGTACCAGGGCATTTGGGGGGCAACACTAATTGTTACAAGCCATTATATCATAATTTCGGACCCGACTCCACCTAATTCAGTTTAAACAATCAGCTATCATCATACTTAGAGTATAAATTTGAAACCAATCACATGAATTTGTACCTAGTGAATGAGTTAATTGAGACGCGCTGGTTGACGTGGGTACGGTTTCTACGGAGAAGATCAATCCTTTAAAGATTTCATTAGCACCTTGTTGTTGAAACAACTGTTTAAGAACCTTATGTTTTCTGTTGATTTCTGTCATTGGGTTTAACATTACATCCACAAATACATCAAAGAAATCTTTCTAGGTATTAATACCTGTTGGGGATGTTAGATACCCAGAAATCACTTGATGAATACCTTATTTTTGTAATTTTATTTTAAAAATTTGAATTTCTTGTTTTCGCGCTAAAAAACACATATTTCCACCTTCATGTCGTATTTCTTACTTGAGAGGAACTTAAATACTATTGGTTCGTTATCTCATTTAGTATACTATTTTGTAACGTTTTCCAATGATATTTTAATGCTGTATATATACACTTGCGTTGTACTTATTGTTATTGTTCATGTTTCTCACTGTTTGTAGAATAGATTTTCCTCTTTCGAACTTTAAACTTCTCTTACTAGTTAACGGTACTGAAACGCGTCACAGAGTCTTCGTTCCGTTCACAGATTAGGTGAACTCGTAATCTCTTCAAACATAGTAATCAATAACAAAGTTAAACTTTATAGTTTCAAACAAATTAAGCATTGGTTAGATAGTTAATAATCAATATATATTTTTTGTTATATCCCAATAAGTAGAAAAATTGTAGTTTTGATGTTTCGTGACTTGTTGTAAACCACTTCTTCAGAGTTAATAAATAATCGGAATCTGTTTATCTTTACATAAATTAGTACTATATCTATAGTTTTTCAGTGTTACTAATTCATGGAATTAGTTCCTTTTATGAATTTAACTCAAGTCAGAACAAACATTGATACAGGGCATTCTGAATTCATTATATTTCATTAGATTCTCATCAGCTGCTTATAACCAAATAGTGTGAAACAATTGACTTAAGTGAATGTAAAGAATTGGAATGGCCAGGGTTATCAATAATAACTATATAATGATGGATAGTGGCTAGCAATGGAATCCAGGACGCGCGTTTCATCCTATTTGAAACTCGTCAGTTGGATGTACCTGCATCCCAGAGTTGACGTTCACTCTGGGACTCGAACCCAGTAACATTCGCTTGAAACGCCATAGCGTTATCCATTCAGCTACTGAGTCCTGATAGCCACTTACTTGTGCAATAGGGTGAAGTTTAGATTCACTTGGTTTGATTGAATCTTCCCATTGAGGTTTAAGACTGTAATTGATCAGTTTGTTATTGGCATACGTATATATTGCCTTAATTTACAATGCTAGCCACTATCCATCATTGCTTAAAAAGTTTGTGCATAAAGGCTATATCGAGGCAATGCATACTGTATGCACATATGAATGAAGGAATGGTTTAAGAATTCATTAATATTCACCAACCAAATAAGACATTTGTTGTTAAATGAATGATATATTTATTCATATTTCTTAATTTCTTTTTAGGAAAATGTTAATTCTTCATTGAAGAAACATTCATTAACGGATCAATCTGTTTCTAGCACTACTACTAATAATACTACTAGTAGTAGTAGTAGTAGTAATGATCCATCTCATATTGTTATTCATTCTAATTCTATTGTTACATCAAAACGTAAACGTCGTAATATTCCACGTAAAAAATCTACAGGTGAAATTATTATTAATAATGATAATATAGAATCTTATAGTATATTATGTAATGAAAATCAATACGATGATAATAATTCAGTTACTACAGCAACAACAACAACAACTACTACGAATACTCCTATCAATTCATCAATGAAAAAAAATCTACATAAACAAAATGAAGATGATGAAAGTGGTTTTGAATTAATTGAAATTTCAAATACATCATCATCAGTATCGTCAACTGTTGAATCTGATGAATTAGAAATACATTCATCCTTATTAACCACTACTAGTACTACTGGTGCTGCTGCTGCTGAAAAAACATTATTACCTCAATCATCATTATCACCACCTGATTTATTATCACATTTTCCACCATTAATTAAAGCAGATAATGGTGATCCAATTTCTGTAACAATGGAAGTAGAACTTCTTGAAGGTGGAAGACATCCACAAGCGAATAAATTGTTAAAATTAGCCCTAAGCAGTAATAACAATAATAATAATAATAATAATAGTAATAGTCAAACTATTAATCGACAGGAACAGTTAACTGATGATCTTGTCAGTGGAACTTGTAGTATTAGTAGTAGTAGTAGTAGTAATAATAATAATACTAATAATAAAAATACTATGAAGCGTTCCAAAGTGAGAAAAGCTGATTAAATGATAAGAATATGATTTTCATGTACTATTCAACTATTTTTTTCCTTTCTCTCTCTCTCTCTCTCTCTCTCTCTTTCCCTTTCTCTGTCTATTGATATATGTCTTTATTCTCTTTTTCTCTCTATCTCTTGTTTTCTTTTCTCATTTTATCTATATACTTAGATCAGATTATAATTATTGGTTTCTCAAATGACCTCTTATAATAATTGTATTATCTATTCTAATAATAACAATTTTATTTGTCACTGATCATCATTATACTGATCATGTTGAATCATTTTTGTTGAGAGAAAATGTTCGTTTATTCTCCCCTTTCATCTTTCTGAAGCAAATAATAGTACAAAAAAAAAGAAGTAGGGATGAAGTGTAACTCATCCCATTTGATTTTCTCAGTTTTACTCCTCTATTTTTTCTCTTCTTATTCTCTGAGTTTTTTTTTGTTTATATTTTACATTTATTCCTCCTGAATATATTGTGTGTAATCATGTTTTTGTAAAGAAAAAATAATCAGTGATAGACAGACAACACTCTTTATCATTATTCTCTTTTCTGGTATAGATCGTGTTCTATTCAATGATCTGTATTGTTTCCACTTGTTTAAACGATTGTATTTTAGAACTATTGTCGTGTTGTTGATGATATGAGTCTATGTGTGTGTGTGTATGTGAGTGATATTTTGGAGTCTTTCCTTCTTCTTCTTCTTCTTCTTCTCTTTCTTTCCAGTGTGTTTATCACTGTTTGTTTCCACATATTTTTGGGTGATCATGGTTTGTAGATCCTCGTTTATTTTCTTCTCAGTGTTTTTCGTTGTGGATTGTTTCTTCACTGCTTATTTATGATTTTTTTCTCTTTTATATTAACAAAAGTTGAAACTTGACGGCAATATCACTTTTTTTTACCACCACTAAGTTATTTTGTCCTATTGGCCTCATATTTTTAGCGCCAAATATAAATACTGTGATATTTACATAATTATATGCATCTTATTCTATTCTATTTCAGGATCAATATAAAGACTAACTGTTCATCATTTTTTAATTGGTTATCTGAGCATGTTTCTATCTATCTATTTATATATATATTTGCCGTGTCAAGGTCAAGTGGATGGGGGCGCACATTTTGATTACTCTTTTTTGATTGGTTGGTTAGTTCATGGTATGCATTAATTTCTGTGTTTTCATTTGTCGTCGATATACTTCCCAAGGTCAAAGAATGATTTTGATGCATTTTGCTTGTTTCTTATTGGTTGGTTAATTCTTTATAAAACATATATTTGTTAATAGTGCATAACAGTTTCGTACATTTTTTATCTTCTTCATACTTTCATTTATGTATGATTGATTAGAGTGTCATTGGGAGATTTGATTTGTTTACAGTACACAATTGTATGGATACAAAAAAAGAGTAATAATAATGGTGGTGTTGTTGTTGTTGCTATGCATTGAGTATTATCCAACAAAAAAATCAAACAAATAAACAAATTTGATGCCCTAATAATTAGTCAAACAGCTTCTTTAGTCATTTGTGAAAACACAATATATATTTATATATAATTGATATTATTTATTTACTTAACTTTTGACTTAAATAATTTATTATTAATGTCCACATATACAATATTGCAATGATTATCCCTTTGTCCCCCCCCGCTAACCTTGATCAGTCTATTTTTCTGTTGTTTCAGTTTATTGATTAATTAGTTATTTTTTTTAAAAATATATTGATCGATGTGAATTGATTTGTTTATTTATTTGTTTGTTTTTGTTTTTCTTTTGTTTATTTTGTTTGTTTGTGTGTGTTTGTGTTTACATTTGTGCATTTGAGGTGGGATAATTATTATTAATAATCGATTTTTTTTCAGAAAAAAAATAAAATAATTTAAATGCCCCTTCTTATTTTTGTGGGTTTTTTTGTCTACCCCTCCTTTTTTTTCTTAGATCTGGATAATTTATTGAATGAATGAGAAAGTATGTAAAGAAATTAGTCTATTTTGTTGTTGTTGTTGTTAAGTATATCAGCTTCTAAATAGTAGTTATGTTATATTAGTAACCCAATGAGTGACTAAAGTGACTTTGAGAGTATTCACCTAATCACCTAGAATCAAATACGGGTAATAAACTAGTGTGTGGTATTAGAATTATGATTTACAATTGATGATTAATCAAGGTAATAAATCAGATTTAGTGTTTTCATCACGAATTGTGACATCAATTATAATGCCAAAATTATATTTAGTCAAAATGGAAGGGTGAATTTCGCGACAAAATCCGAGACCTGTTATCTTATATCTGATTGGCTCGTCTATAAGTCATACTCTCGCTAATAACCCTTATACACATACACTCACAATAAGTATGATTCGAATTTGAGCAAATAATTTTATAATCAGAGAGGGCTTTTCTGGATGTTACAGTGATTTAATAGTTGAATTCATGAATAAGTTGATTGTTTGAAGTTAGAAATTAACACCGCTGGATGCCTAATCAATGTTCTAGATGTTAAGCGCTAACCCGCGAGACTAATGTGTCGTGGGTTCGAGTCTCGTGAGACAGAATCGTAGATGCGCACTTCTGAAGTGTCCTATACCAGGATGAAACGGTCGTCCGGTGCTTCTAGGTTTCCTATGGTGGTCTAGGTTCAATTAACACATGAATTCAGCTATTAAATTACTATAATATCCACAAAACCCTTCACTGATTATAGTTATAATCGTCTAGTTAAAAGTTTTCATCCAACCAATCAAAGATCGTTTTTATCTTACCGTTACAATTGTAAGTTAACATAACATTAAGTAACTTTGAAAATAGTAATAATCAAAGTAATTATTCGAGAATCAAGCAGTTGCTACGTTGCATAATATATAGAAAAAAGAGAAGAAGGAAGTAACAAAATATTGTCAGTAGTATCGTAGTTATGTAAGAATCAAGTGACGAATGTTAAGAATAAGTAGAATACGAAAGTAGTTTATTAAAGTTCTGCTATAAACTTCTCTATTATACTGATGGCTAAGATAGCGAGATTGGTTGTAGAGATTTGATTTGTGAATACGGATTCCAATGGCTTCAGCAATGTGTAAATGATGAATTCGTAAACCATGCGGCAAATTTGATGGAATATGGTGGATAAACTTAAAAGATTTATTCATTTCAATTTGGTGACCTGTGTCCACCAAGTGAGTGAGAATAGAACTCTTACCTGTTCGATGTTTTACTCGAGTACAAAATTGAATGTTTATTGACGCGTATTATCAAAAACATGACTTTACATTGTGAATAGTCACAATCTACAAGAAGGTTAGGTTGAAACGAGAAAACATTTTATTATAAATTGGAATAGAAGAAATGGAATGAAAAATGTGCAATAGGCTCAATTATAAGCATTACGTCATTTTTCGGTTGCCCATATAATGGGAGAATTTATATAGAATTAGTTAGTGAAGATTATATCAGTTTGAAGGTGTGACCTCAAAGCACAACAAAACAGTTGCTTGAGGTCGATTAAACACGGCCATCAAATGAGTAGCTTTTGATATATATGTTATCCTGGTATATTACAAGATCCCCCGTGAATATTAAATCTATTTTCGGTAAGAGGAGGTTAGTTGTATTTAAGTTATGAGTGATTAGTTAACTTTGAATTTATAGTTGTTATCACAGATTTGAGTCAGTTGAACATGATAAATCTTGCAATTTGAACACTATACTCGGTTCCTAAGCTATTCTTGTAACCCCCAAGCTAGAACTCTACAGCGACCTGAACATGAGAGAGAAGGCGCAAAGTATGCGCCTTGTCCTTGGGTTGCTCGAAGATTTTGGAATGCTACTAAACATAGTAGTAGTATAACAATCAACCAATCAGAAGCTCTACATGTGACGTTTCGCTTCCTTGATGTTTCTGGCTAAAACTTCAAGTGAACGCTGATTGGATGAAATACTTTTTAATGTTTCTTGATCCTTGCTTGTCTTTTGCGAGAAAATTTTTGGATCACCACAACAGAATAATTCTAGAACCAGATATTTTGATCTACTTTGTAAACTGATGCATATTTACAGTTATTAATGACCACCTATGAATGTTAGTTTTGAGATAATGATCAAAATTTTGGATTGCTTAAATGTTGAATGATAGATGATGTACAGTGATAGAATGTTAGCGGATGGTGACCACTTAGAATATTAACAGGTTGAAATCAAATGATATCGAAATAGATTGTTTTTCGAATAAAATTACATACTTAACAACGAAGTAATCCCAATTATACAATTGGAAGTTACTTTAAACATGGGCTATTAGAAGATTCTATTTGTAGATGATTTCAGAAACTCGTTAAGTTTTGAAGTCTGTTTAATTTGACATTAACTTTCATGTGACTATGTATATGCACGTTCCTTTACATTTTAATAGTTCAGATGGTGATTTAATTGTAATTATTTATTAAAACACATAAATATTAGTACAAGGGGGCACCAAATATATATGCGCCATACAAAGTCATTTCATTCTGTTTGTGTGTGGGCTGTGATACTTCCCGGGTGCCCAAACCGAAGCAGATGGTTTTCTTAGGGAGCTACACCCCAAGCCTTTGACCTAAATGTCTGGCCCACAAGACAGTGGAGCATCGTAAGGAGATGCAGTCCCATTGTAGCCGGTGACCAGTAATTAGCTCATACGCCATTTGTTCCTTCAGGATACTGGAGCTAGCCCATGTGCACCATTGGTTTGGGATCCGGATAAAGCGCCGGACATTCGCTTTTCGTCCTGTCATTTTCGTGAAGAACACCAATGGTGCGAGAAGGCAGTGAGTAGGACTTCCCTGGCAGAGGGTGTATACACGTTGCCATGTGAGAGAATTTCGATAGGGATGCGGGTCCACCTAATTCTCGGCCATACCAGGGTATTTGGGGGCGATTCGATTGAATCTAGACTACCAACTAAACAGCCGTTTCGTCCTACTATGGGACTTCTCAGCAGTGCGCATACACGATCCCGATCAGTGCTTCCAGGATTTCCAAGGTGGTCTAGCTTAAACTGACTCATAATGTCAACTATTAAAATTACTAAAATATCCACAAAATCCCTTCTGACATTTCTTTTAACCCAAAAGCGCATATTTATTTTGTATAGTTATAGGGGGTCAATAGGAAACCTTAGAAACAGGTTTCGTTCTGTTCGCAAAACATCACCAAGACATATTTGAACTGCTTTAAAAATTTAAACAAGCGGCTTACATGCATTCCGACTTGTCCAATAGACTCGATGATAAAACCGATGTTACTAAAACTACGTCAAAATGAATATATTAATTTAAATAGTTGTGATCATGAGTCAATTTAAGATAGACCACCATGGAAAACCTAGAAATACTAGATGACTGTTTCAATTTTGGTATGAGACATCTCAGCTGTCGGCATTTACGATCCCGCCCCAAGCACGGTTCGAACCAGGCACCTATAGGTTTCGCACACGAACACCTAAACTCTTGACCACTAAACAGACATCCAACGATGTAAATGTTGAATTTCAACCAATTCACAAAATTGCACAATCATTCATCATTGTTTTCAATGAACAAGAAACTCGGTCAAACTACACTGATCACGGCTCCCAACTACAACTCCTGGAAATACCTCTTGAAGACGGTCACTAGTGAACATATGATGATTATAATCTAACTCCAATTAAATCATAAATTCACCAATTAAATCATTATAATATCCACAAAACCCCTCCATGATTAGAAGTGAATATCTAATTAAATAAGTGTAATGCACAACCGTTTCGATTTTGTCATTAGAACTACTGACATTAGAAAATCGTTCATATATGTTTGAATGAATTAGGCAAAATGATTGGATTCATATTCAATAATCGAGTGCAGAGGATTGCATTCTTGTGCAGATTATATTATACTACTTCCTATTGTATAAGTAGTGTATACATTGAACAAAATAAAAACAGATTTGTGAAAACTAAATTTGCATTTCATCTCATCCATCGACATTTAAATGCTATCAACTTCTCATCCATCAATTTTGTCTCAACTTCTTCAGGATAATCATCAAAATCAAAAGTATCAAGGAATATATAACTTATCAACTTAGAATACACACATGACATAGTTCTGTTTGATGAAGTCGCTGATAAAATGGAGAGTCTTTCAAAATTCCCTGTCGGAGTTAATCACCACTAGATGCATACTGCTAAAGCTTTTCATATTGGAACGAAACGATCGTCCACTGCTTCTATGTTTTTCATGGTTATGTAGCTTTAATTGATTCATGAATTCAATTGTTAAATCCGATTGGTTATGTTGAAGGATAAGTTGATCACTATGTAATAACTAATATGTCATATCTGTCTCATTCTAAACATCCAGTTTCCATGAAGTCACTAATCAGTGTGTAATGATATTTTATCAAAGAAGATATAACATTTGACAATCAGATCAAAGATATACTGTGCTTATTCAATCATATTCACATGTTGAATGGACTATGTAGGATAACATAAGTAGGTTATATGTGAATAATGTGAAAACTTCACAATGTGAAGATAAATGAATGAATAATTGATGTAAAATGAGAACCTTCAAGTGCATAGTTGTAATGGTAAAATATTCAATTTAATTTCATGGATCCTTAATGCTGAATAGTCCCATATTAGAACGAAATCGCTATCCAGTGATTCTAGGTTTTCAATGGTGCTCTAGCTTAGATTGACGCATGAATTCAACTTTTAAATAATAATTTTTGTCAAAATATTGATTACTTGTTACTTACACTTGTTATCCGTCATGAAAGAGGAAAGTGTGCTCATCATCATTCTCTATCCAACTGTTTACGGGATAATCCATTGCAGTTCTTTCCAGTTGTTATTCATCCTTTTCATGTCTGATTCAAATTCTCGACGCATTGTATTATTTGACCTTCCCCTTTTTCTTTCCAAGTTAGCATTTGCTTTGTGATGCAGTTTGATGATTTCCTCAATGTATATTCTATCCACCTCCATCGTCTTTTCTTCATTTCATCCTCAACTAAAAACTGTTTTGTTCTCTTCCATAGTAGTCTATTGCTGATATTATCCGTCCAATGAATATTCAGTATCTTACGTAGATGATTGTTTATGAATACTTGTACCTTTTTGATGATGGTTGTGCTAGTTCTCCATGTTTCAGCTTCATACATTAAACAAGTTGGATAGAAATTACTTGTACATGATCATCTGTCAAATAAAACAATTGTGATTGTATTACTAGTCTAAGAGAGGCATCTTAATAGAATTTTGTTCACTAATCTGGATGGTTTAGTCATGAAGTTCAGTGAACAATACTCCATCGAAATCATTCAATTGAGCTACAAATTTTATCTACCATCTTGATTTTTTCAAAATAATTTTCTTACTCAATTAGTTTCCAACCTCTTATCAGAATATTCAATAGGAAAGTTTATACTCACACTATTATATGATCTCACTACTCAACAATCCAAACACTAGTACGTTCGAATTCAGGAAGATCTTCCTCTTCTTCGTTACCCTTCAGGTTTACAAGTTAGCGTAATA